GCGGCCGCCGACGCCCAAGCCGAAAAGTCCTGGCACAACGCCACACCCTGCCGGCTGTGTCAGTACCACTCGCCGATCCTTCGGGATCAGGTTTGGAGCACGCTATCACCTCTCGTTCGGGATACGTTTCGCGGAGCCAACAGCTAATCAACTGGGAAGAGTTTGGTTCGCAGCACTACTGCTGTAGCTCGCGGATCGTTCGGGATCAGGTTTGGAACACAATCTCACCGCTCGCCGGCTCACACGAGTTTGCTTCGGAGCTCCAGCCCACCGGTCACTCTGAGGGAAACAGCGCGCGGCCGCAGCGGCAAGGTCTGGCATGGACCGCACCCATATCCCTCGCGGGGCATGGCTACGCACCCGCGAAGCCGTCCTTTGGTCAAATGGCCAGAGATCCAAGGAACGCGGAGAAGAGCGGGAGCGGTTCATCGATATGCCGGTCAAACAATTTGCGCAAGTACACCAACATTCTTCGCCGAAGAATATGGGGAAGCCGGTTATTTGGTGGCCGCGGCCTCCTTGGCGGCGAAACTGCGTGTGGAAAGAAAATACTTCGCCACGATCCGCCACTTCCTGGGCAACAACAAGCGAAACCCGGACCCGTCACCAGCAGAGTTTGCAGCCGACTCCTCTATGGCCTGAGGGCGGCGTACCCCAATCTCAACGGCGGTTGCCACCCCGACTAGTCGACTGGAGTCTCCCGACAGCAATTTCGGCGCCTCAACGGACTATGCCAAGACACACGGCGATTTGAGGACCGTCACGTGGCGCAGAGTCATGGTAGAGCACCTCCACGACAGCAGCAGCTCACGCAGCGACAGCAGCCGTGGATGTGGTGCATCGGGAAAACGTGGTCAACGAGGACAGGGTCGCCGGCAACACGAGACAGCCGAAACCATCGATGACTCTCGCCCAACAGGAAGACATCGACGCGGCCATCGCGGTTCGAAGTCCTCTGGCACCGGCGACAGCAACGCTACCGTATCCACATCACCAATTGCCCCATAACGCGGACTCGTGGCAAGAGCCGCCAAGGGGAAGAACGCCTTTGGCGGTGCGCCTGCGAAGCGTAAGAAGGCTCCAGCGGCTTCGACCGGAGATAACCATAGGGTTGACACGTCCCGCGGCCGGAGTCGTAGCTCTCGGAGAGCCAGATCGTGCAATTCGGATTCATCACGGCCGTTGGAGCACTCGCAGGTTGATGTGTACGTCGCCACCACGGCAGAAGTAGTAAAGAATCAGGTCGACCACCCCCTCGCCGCAATACGTACTGACAGGCAAGTAAGGCGAGTGTCGTCGTCGGGTGTTGTTGCCGTAGTAAATATTCATGGTTGTCGCGCAACAGCAGTTCCTTCGTAAAAATCGCTGCCCGCCCGTTGTCGTCGGTCACAGCTTGTGCTCGCAATGTAGAGTTGGACGCTGCTGACGCGCTCGTAGCTGCCGCGCGACTCCGTGAGATCAGCGCGAGGTAGACATAGCGACTAACTATTTAGGGATATTCATATCCATCCCGCCATCTCTGGCGGCAAACCTGAAACAGGTAGTGCCGCAATTGCTGGACTCTGGTATTGCGTCCGCAGCGTTAGAGATCTTGCAACAGGGTGACTCTTCTTTATCGAATTTGAAAAATCCGATTCGTGGGTTCGCGGTTGGGAACACCCGCTGAAGAAAAACATTATTCATGCCTTCACACCGACAAAAAGACCACAGGTGACCTCATTGGTTCTATCAATGGTATGTTTGTGCAGGTGAAACAACGGCTGAACGACGACATGAACGGAGGAGACGCCGTCTAAATAGCACCTTCTTCGTATGATCGCGTCCCCTTTCAAGCATGAAGACCGTGGAGACGCCTCGACAACGCTGAGTGCGTTTGGCGTTCCCAATGGAACTACGTTTGAAGAGTTTCTGCGCCAGTACCGAATTGCAGTCACGAACTTCACGCATTATTTAATCATGTTTAGGGCATATTACGATGTTTTTTTTAAGACTTTTTTTTAGGCTGTCTTTAAAAACAAAATGACAACTGGCCAAATAGCCCCGTGTTATAGGCTGTCAAATAAGGTTCGTTGTCATATTTTAGCAAGAAAAGACGTTGTAGCACGGGGCTATTTGGCCAGTTGTCATTTTTGAAAAAAAGGCAGCCTAAAAAAAGACATCGTAACAAACGGACTTAGTCTTAAGGGGACTTCCATTGTTGGAATCAGTAATAACATCAACGACCAGTTTCGACGCCTGACTGTTTTCCGGGCGAAAAGTGTACCGCTGCAGAGCCGATATAGCCTGGATGAAATGTGGAAAGTTCTGAATCAATCAGTTTACGAACGACCACACTAAGGTGTCCAAGGCTGAGAAAGGAGAGCAATGTGCTTTGCTCTCGCTTGCTGGCTTATATCTGCACTCGCAAGGTGGTAGTCGCTCTCAGGGTCTGTGCGGTGCCATCGCAGGAGTCCTGGACCTCCCAGGGAGCACGTAGCAAACCGTTCAGGCGCGGTTACGCGGTGGTTATGCCTGAGCCGGTTCATAATGTGTTTTGCGTTAGCTTTGCATTAGCTACGACTGCTGGCCTCTCGCCTTCGATTAACACTGGTAGGCAGTGAATTTTGTTGTCCATGGTTTACAGCGACAACTGCCCCCTGTTTCGACACCGCTCCTTAGATCCAGAGCCGACCGCGCTCAAGAGTTCAATGAGAATGCTGGCCGTTGTTTGAACTGTCATGGGTCTGATGACTCTGTCAAGCGATGAGGCCTACCCTTCACCAATGCGAGTGGTGCGCTGAATTTCTGCTTCATACCCACTTTTCAATGCAACCTAGGTTTGTTTTTGTTGAGGTGCTACTCCCCCCGTGCGCGCCGTCAACTCCCCACCTGTGGTTTGCTTTACAATTCGATGGTCCAACTTTCGCCAGAGCTGTTATCGTACGCCGTGGCAGAAGTGTTCTATACTACTGTACACGCACTCGTTTTTTTTCACTTGGCCCTTGGAGCTGAAGTTTCGATACTCTGCGAGCGCCTCCCCCCGCAATCGCACGCAAGTTTTCCCGTGACATGCGGATGTTGCAGTGGCTTATCGACACTATGCTGTCAGTTTGGCTTTTCTTGACTGTTTCCACCGGAAACCTCCGCTTTCGGTGCGTTGTTTCGATGCTTGGTCAACCCTTCACGTTTTTTCATGTCGATTACGTGTCGTTCCAGGCTAAATAGGTTTTCGTTTAGCAGCTCCCCTTACCGTGAGGTTTTGGTTTTCTTGATCGAGCCCTCGACCTCTTCGTTCGCCGACACTACGGATTTTCCCTGCGCGAGTTTGTTTTTGTAGTTGGATATGGTTCCGATGTTTGAGTTCTTTTTCGCACCCCGCGTCTGCTCTTTTTCCCATTTTATGCGCCGACTTCGCCGTCCGTGGCCACTTTTCCCCGCTCTCTTGGTTTTGTTAGCGTGGAAGTGGTGTGGGTGAGGGTTTTGAGTTGCCGAATCTTCGATCCATCCGCTAAACCTTTTGATTGACGGGAGCCCCTCCGAGGTTTGCTTCTGTATGTGCATCTACGGCTGCTCAGATTGGGCTAGTATTCCGGTGTTTGGAGGTAGTCATCTTATGGTGCAGTACCATGTGGCGTTATAGATGTTGTTGTGATATGACGCCATGCAAGATTCCTGCTTTATGCCAAGCTGTGTGTGCCCTTCTGTGTGCATGCATTGCAACCGGCTTGTGTTCGATTACGGCTGCATGATGGCGTGCATTTAAGGCGATAGGAGAGTCAAATCAAGGAGAGAACAAAGGAACGCAAACCTGCATCTATCTGTACTCGGACAAGTTCCACACAGCTTCGCGGTGATCACATGGAAGAAGAGGTGCAAATCACATTACCGATACATTGTATTTGTGTGTACGTCTTTTTCTACGGGTTCCCCGCAAATCTCCAAGCGTTCTTCCTTTCCCGGGGCATGGTCAAACACGTTTTATCGCAGTTTCAACGAGCAGCCTCCTCACCGGGGCATGAAGGGGGTGGGGTCAGTCTCATCGACAGAAGTTAGCCTCACCATACAAGTTGCATCTCCTGTCGAAGGGATGCAATGTTCTCGCGCAAAAAAAGAAGCAGTGGGAAAACAGGACGAGCACCAGGGTTTCTTCTCCGCTCGTGCACACGACTGTTTCGTCGGGATAAGGGCAACATGTCGGCCCCCGTTATCGGGACCAAGGGCACCGTAAGTCCACCAGAGGGCGAATCGCAAGAGAAGAATTTCGGGGGCGAGGTCAGCATATAGACTATGCAAAGATACATCACGTTCGCCGAGCAATACACTGTTTTAATAGTGGTGATACGTGGCATCCCGCGGCCGCGGTTGCAACAAGGGAAGTGGTGGTCCCTGTCTGGAACCTGCAGGAGCAACACAAGCTTACACCGCAGACAACACATATCATCGCTGGTGATTGGGTTGGCCATCATTGAATAGCGGCCGCGAACTGGCGACTTGGTTTCCATTATGAGTGGTGCCGTGGTTTGAGAGCCCGTTCTTCCCCGGGTGCCCTCGACGAGTCCAGTTGAGGACAAGACGCAGCGGAACAGATTCCACCAATGTTGCCAGTTCATGGTTATGTTGCGAACCGCGATGGTACGTACGGCACCCTCAATGGAAATGGGCGTGTGACTTTTCTCAAACATCGATTATATTTTGAGTGCAAGAGAAGTGGCTGCCATCGCGCATCAGCTCGTTCGAGCCGTCATTTCTTGCTCATGATAAATTACTGCCAGCGTTTGATTCCACTCTAACATCTACATCCGCATCAATCTGCACGCTTTGGCATATATATATACACGTATATGCGTTGAGACCCACCACTTCCTTCTTCGTATCCTCCTTGCACGCTAGTCTTTGGTCCTTAGCAGAATATTGATTATCACGTCGGCGCACCATCGCCAGAAGTCTGTATTAAGTATAACAAACTAAGCGTATCGTCGTATTTACACTGCGCCTGACAGATACTGATAGATCAAGGGCTACACCGTACAGACTCCGCAGGGCTTCTTTCGTCAATGTAGGAGACGTAGACGCAACCATCCGAGGTAACCTCCAAATGTTCTCAATGGAGCCCCGCAATTGTCCTCACCCGTAGGAATATCAGCGCCAGGTCAATCTCCTGCGCCAGGTCAACCTCCCACCATTTTGCATAAAAGCCTCAAACGAAAAGGTTGTGGAACCTTACGATACTATCGACGACCTCCCCAACCAAATGAAACCAGCGCTCCGAATTCGTCGACAATCATTTACGTATGCGTACATGTAGTCATCTGATCAAAACCCAATGATTTTCTATGTCTATACACTTGCCTGCCTCCCACCTTACCAGCTGCTGCTGCAAGGCACAATCATGCGTATTGGGTAGACCTACTGAGAAAATCGAGTGTATGTGCACGACGAAGAGCGGCGTGCACGCAAGAAAACACCCCTCCATCTCCCTCCCCTCCAATGTGGTATTGGTGGTGCCAGCTGCAAACAGAAATCCCTGCCTAGGTAATATAAACGATTTTGTGTTGTTTCGAATTTCGAAAGGCTCAGCGGATTCAACACAACAAAAAATAAAAGGATACCTTCCGATGCCTCTTATCATAGGGTTAACCTCACCCTGCTGGTCACACACGCAATGGTGAAGACCGATATCAATGTAGTCATCCAGAGCTCGGGATTTCCTCGTAATTTTATTCATCTCAATTATCTTTCTTCCGTGAGTTACATCTTAGTGGCACATAGTCCTTTCAAAGCAGTCTTGCACAATGTAGTTGCTTGGGGTCTAAAATTCAATCTTGCCCGTAAACGTCTTAAATATCAACAAAATTGTTTGTTTGCCTACAGCAGCGAATGCGACACCCCGTTCTGTACTACCGATCACACCAACTTTGGGCGCAAATTCGTATGGTAAGCACATCCCCGACATTATGACCACATGGACGCTCCAAACCGGGTTCAAGCAGACCTTCTGTGGAGTTGATCCATGTCACCGAGCGTCTCCATATGCTAGTACCCCCAACTTGTCAAAGGAAGCTTAGCACGCAGCGGAACGCGCCTTCCTCCCCGAGTCCGATCAGTCGCGCGACGAGGCTCGCCAGAGCCTGTCTACCCGCTAGCTCTTCTTCGCTCTCGGTACCGCCTCGGCCGCGCTTTCCGACGCGACGTTTCGCCGCTCCTCTTGGCCGTTTCTTGTTACTCGAAGCGTGTCCTTCGCCCGGCGGGCAGGCGCTGACGCTGCTCCCCCCCGTCGCTGGCGACCGTCTACTACGCGGCGCCTTCCCGCCCCCGCCGCGACTACGAGCAACCGCCACCCCCTGTGCCCCAAAACTCTTCTTCGGTTGATGATGATTACGAAGGTGGCCAGCCGTAAGGCCCTGCCCTTCGAAGAACCCCGGCGACGTCGCCGCCCCGGCGATAGACCTGCTGCCGCCACCGCCGATCGCCCAGACCCGAGCTTCGCGTCTCGCGGCGCTCCTGGTCGTTACCGCAGTCGGCGGCGGCCGCGCGGATGCCAGGGGGCCCACCGCGACGCAGTCGCGGTTTCTCAGCATGACCAGCCACCCGCGGCGCCGCCAGGCGCGGTCGGCCGGGGCGCGGCGGAGCATCTCGCGGATGAGCGCGATGTCCTCGGCGCGCTCGATGGACTCGGACATGGTTCCGATGACCTGGGCCGGGGAGTTGCCGTCTTCGTCCTCGACGGTCTCGTCGGCCCCTCCTCGCAGCAGCTCCGAGACGCAGGCCGCGTGCCCCTGCATGCACGCGCAATGCAGGGCGCTGCGGGGGATCCCATCGGCGTCGACCCGGGCGCCGGAGGCGAGGAGCTTCGCTATGGCCGTCGCGTGCCCGAGCCACGCCGCAAGGAGCAAGGGGGTGTCGTTGTTCCGGTCTCTGACCTCGGTGTGGGCCCCAGCTCCCACGAGGCACGCGATGACGTCCGGCTTGCCGGCCCTGGAGGCAGCGTGGAGGGGGGACTCTACCCGCCAGCCGCCCCGGAGGTTGACGTCGACCGCCTGGACCAGGGCGCGGACAGCGCCGATGTCTCCTCGCTGGGCGGCTCGGTGAAGGTGCGTGCGGTCGGCCATTCCTTGATGGCAGTCGCTTATGCGCGCGACGACACCTTTAGTTTTGTGGACGTTGGGAGGTAGTAGGTATTTCGTTAGCTAGCGTGCTGGTTTGTAGGGAACGGGGAGATGACCTGACAGACACCAATGCTACCTCGGCGATGAAAAAGGTTATTGAAATACGAAGTGCGTTATACGAAGTACTCCGTACGTTGATATATTTCGACTTTTCGTGTGCAATACTGTGCTTCAGTAGTTTTGACACTCGTCGACCTTGAGATACCAAGAAACTGTGGACCCACAAAACCGTGGGTCCACGGATGGTTACTTCTTGTACCACTCCTTTCGAACCACGTGCTACGTTCTGTAGTCAAGTGATTGAAGCAAGTAAAGGCTACTGTACTTATTCCGCGCTTCATTGGCTACCCAATGGAGCTGTAGAACTATTTAGTGAACCAAGGGATAAAAATGGAATGGCATAATTTGTTCTGGCACACTCATAGTGGAACCGTAGAACCACAGATAGATATTTGAACCGTCCACTTACGTACACCCTTTCCCCGGGAGGGTGAAAAGTAAAATACGTGACTTCTGGATCTTCGAGGATGCATGCATTACATAGTCTAAGTAGACCAGGGCAATACAACGGCGGTACCGGTTTCTACCGTGCCGCCTTCTTCTGGCTCGCCCAAGGTGCAGATATGTTGACGACGCATCGCTCGAACGATATAAAAGTTGTTTTTAGGTCATATCATATCATTTGAACGAGCAGTTGCACATATGTGTATGGTTCTGGTATGCACGTATCCATGGCAACAGCGGTTGACCGACCGACGAACCACAAGCGACTGATGCTGGCTGCGTGAGCTTCGAGGAACGAGAGTCGTACAGAGTGCATTTGTATCGACGAAGGAGGCTGCTGCATAGGGTGCGGAGGTCGGCACAGCGAGCTGCCATGCATCTCAGCTTGCGAAATTACATGTTGACGTTCAAACGGTAACTACCAGCTCCGCGAGACACCTCCGAGCTGAGGAAGGACAGTTGGTCGGCACGATCAAACAAGCAACACAAAGCAGGCTGCTGAAGAAAGTGGCGAGAAGTGAAGAAGAAGCAACCGTTGTGAGATGGTACGACACTCATTTTCGAACGGCGGCTGCTGTGTGTCTCAGTGTGCCCATCGCGATCTGCTCAGGCAGCATGACATGGTCTCGAGGAAAACGGACAGCAAATCGATTAGTCTATACCACGGCTGTAAGCGTGAGATGACTATAAACCATCCCGTAGTCCGCAGCACGGAGAGTATTCTCAAAACCGGCGTCCTCACCTGTTCTAGCCTCTGGCGACTGCCAACGAAAACGGAAGTCAGAGCACCGTGAAGCAAGAGCTAGGCAGGCAGCCTTGTGCGACTCAGATGTCACTGGCTGCAGGCGGACGACGCGTTGTGGTGTGTGGATGGATGTTGTGTCTCGCTGCGCGAAAAATCCCATAAAATAACTGAAGTTGTGAGTTGTGCGCGCGCGCTCGAGCGCCCAGTGCACCAAACCAAAACGCCTCCCGCCAGTGATCCTACACAAATTTGCAAATTTGTATAGACAGTTGAACTTGAAACCGAAGGCACGACGACACGACGATGACGACGACAACGACGACGACAGCATCCTCAGCGCGCCGTTTCGACGCCCAGCCTACGGATAGCACTCTGGGTTGTGTTCAAAACACCTGAGCCCCCACCACGCACAAAACTTCACGATTCGGCAGGCAGGCGCAGCAGCCGTACGGTGACGTCCGGCACGAGAAAAGATGCGAAGGTGCGCCACGAAGAGATACCGACCGTGCGACAAAAACACCTCATCGGAGAAGCTAATGTTGCTCGTCGAGCACCAAATCTACCAAACAAATCAAAGGGATCCATAACTTACTGCTGTAGTCTAGCTCCTTCGATCGTAGATTCGATTATTCGGACGACAGCAAAAAAACAATGATTCCGCCGCGTTTGTTTGCAGGTCGCCTCGCGGCTGCCCACGCACCTCCGACGGCTGCGTACCCGGACGAAAGATATCCCGTGCTGCATCATGGCTGAGGTGGCGATAGAGAACCGGGTCTATCGGTATGAGGCGAAGCCGCAGCCGACTGCGAATGAGCCCGGAAAGATCGTGGAGGCATTTGGGTTGGGAAAATGCCCTAAGCTTGCAGAGCAGGTGTGATGTATGTAGGTATTGATATCGACTCAGGATATAACTTCAGCGGTACATAGTCGCCCCGGTGGTCTAGTGGGTAGCCTCGCAGCCGGGCAAGGGCCAGGTCATGGGTTCGAGTTTCGGCAGGGGGAGTTTTTTTCTCACTAGTCTAAATAAATCTTGGTCTAGCATGCAAGCGACGCGTTGCAAAGCTCGTTTGTTAGTAAAAACCATAATCGACTTCGTAAGTCGCGAGGGAAGGGATTGCTGTACCCTTCTCGCGATAAAAATACCTCAGGCATGAACTGCAGGAGGGGCCCAACCCCCCCCTCCTATGTGACCCCGGTTGGGTCGTCTAGCTCGTAGAAGTGGAGGATAGGGGCCAGAGGGGCAGACGACAGAGTCCAATGATGGGAGAAAAACAAACAAACAAATAGTCAATGTTTAGTACTCCTTAGGAGTCACCTATTATTATTGTACATGAGACCACTCTGTGGTTGCGGTAAAGCGTGATGTGCGCAATGATGGAGAAATGGTGTCTCCTCTGCACATTGCACCTTGGCGTATGGGAGAAACCATGTACTTGGAGTGGGCATGCAGGAAAAAACAATTGTATTTTGTGCTTCTAAATTACATACATCCGTAGAAGTACTTGCTTTTTATGAACATAAACACATTTTTATTCCAAACTTGCACACACGTGCTGATGCTCACATTTTGTACTTTGCTTTTTATGAACATGACAATTTTTCAATTGCAATTGTTAATACCAAACATGCACGTGCTGATGTTTAAAACAACAGCCAGCCGTGACAGTACGTATACAAACGTAGACGGATTGATATGGCCGACTGGAGAACTGTTTAGGTCCAACGGAGTCCAACAGCTTTGCGCAAGTGTCGGGTTCTTTGTGATGCGCGCTGAAGACAGATGATGTTGCCAACCTGCTCAGCAGGATGAGTCGCAAGCATAGAGTAAATGTACCAATTAAGAGACACGTAAGCCACCCTCCGCTCAAACAGCTCGTTCTTGACTATTAGGACGAATATCGTTGACGTCGAGGTATCGTACGATAGCTAACATCACAGGCTACCTCCCCCCCAAAAAAAAAATCGTAAGCGCTGGGAAGATATTGCTCCTGTAATACCCCTAATTTTTCCGGGATAACACGGTGGAAAACACCCCCGCCCCCGTTAAGAGACACTTTAAAGATGTGGTGATTGCGTGAGATCCAAAGCGTTTCAAGACCTGACTTTTTTCGTATACGCTTTGCTTCTACTCATGTCTATGTAGAAAAAAAAAAATTGGGATCGATCCAGCCAGGGGCCACAAATGTCGCATCCCGGCCCATGCTCGCAATGCTTAGCAACAGACCCGCCACAGGGATGAAAATGCCCCGCATCACGGGTGTGGGAGCGGGTGTTGCTGTATCTCGTGGGTGCGTGACCCGATCGGGACGCTGAAGTGCTCAAACGAAAGCTAACGGAACGCTTGCAAATTTGAAAAAGAAATCAGGGGTCCCCGCGGATTGTGCGCGGAGATATGTGCATTTGAAAAAATGTGTCTCTTAATGGGGGGTGTCTCTTAATTGGTACATTTACTCTACAGTACAAACTGTGGTGGTGCACAAAGAACAAATATCTTAACGAAAGAACTGCGAAAACATATCAGCCGTTGGCAAAGAACGCTTGACTTCGTCATCACAATATTGTGCTACCTGGGTGAAACCCGCGAACTGGCCGCGGGAGCTTGGCCCTGCATGAGCAACAGCGTTTCTTGTCTGGTGACGTGTGCTGCATGGGCACAGAGGTCTTCGATAAGTCGCCGTGCGAGGGGTAATCGCTCACTCCGTCCGGTGCCATCAAACCTTTTGGCATACAGCCATGACGATCACCTTCAGTGTGTTGTCTTCTCTAGGTGCGGAGCGACAGCCTCTTGGTTCGGGTCAACACGCTCAGGGTGCTGTGCGAAGAGTTCAAGAACCCCACAATCATTGCTGGAAGTGTCAAGGCTGGTCTTATGAAGTGAGCTCGGTGCATGCATATACCGTTAGAGCGCCGGGTGAACGCGCAGGTATTCGTTGGACGATATAGACTAATATGTGTCCCTTGGATACTTTGAAACCGCACTCACACGAGCTGGCACATCCAGTTCGTAAGCACCGGAGGCGGTCTTTGCTGCTGAAGCACCGAAGGCGGTCTTTGCTGCTGCTATCCCCCTCCTTCGGATTGTTCAGTATCCTAAACACGCAGAAGCATGCAGCTTACGAACTAGTCCAGCCGCATTAGTCCCTTACCCTCACACGTATGTATGGGGGGTGTTCATGCGCGCCTCGGCAGCAGCTACACGACGTCACTTGTACTTTAACTCGGTGGTAGCATGTGTCCATGCAAGTTAACTACTTGGGGTCGTTTTTAAAGTCACCAGATAGTCTAAGCATTGCGTTCAAACATGTGTTGGGGATATATCCGAAACGTTTCTAACCATCGATGTAACAAGGCTCGTTGTCGTGGACAGTACAGCACAACCGGCGAACTCTCTCTTGCGCGCGTTCCAGCACCTTGCCGAAGATGGCCCTCGACTCGGACCTGAACACGAGAAAGTTCTCTTCGAAGGCGATGGTTGCTGCGGCGAGGGACTACAACGGTCGCACCGCCTTGCTCAAGGCAAGGACAGCGACACTCGCCGAGTCAACGGCTACCATTGGCGTAGAAGCTCACCATGCCAACAGCTACCAGTAGCAGTAGGTCGCACTGCCTTGCTCAAGGCAAGAGCGGCACTCACCGAGTCATCAGCTACCAGTAGCAGTAGCAGCTCACTATGCCAACAGCTACTAGTAGCTGTAGGTTGCACTGCCTTGCTCAAGGCAAGAGCGCAGTGCTCACCGAATCATCAGCAACCAGCAGCAGTAGCACCAAGTCAACGGCTACCAGAAGCAGTAACGGCAAACGAAGAAGTGTACTAACGCTAATTAAATCCTGGTCTCCGTTGGAAGCGACGCGCTGCAAAGCTCGTTGCTAGTAAACTTGATCGACTTCATAAGTCGTGAGGGAAGGGATTTCTATACCCTTCTCGCAATAAAAATATCTCAGGCAGGAACCGCAGGAGGGGGTCCAACCCCCCCCTCCTATGTGACCCCGGTTGGGTCATCTAGCTGGTAGAAGTGGAGGATAGGGGCCAGAGGGGCAGACGACAGAATCCAATGATGGGAGAAAAACAAACAACAAACAAAAACTAACGCCGGCAGTGTCCCGCGAGGCGGTCGATTTAGGCCATCTCCGACCGAGTGCATGCACCCGAGTACGACGCTTGATCGATCTCTCTTTGCATGTGTTCATCTCCGCTGTAGCGGGGGGGGCATCGCTTCCCGCTGCCTCGTCTTCGCCGTCGTAGCTCTTGAACACGGTTTCATCTTGAAAGGAATGGTCGCGGGTCCAAGTCATCCGTCGTGCCACGTACTTGGCCCAGCCTTGTGTTTGTTTCGACACCGCGGCACGCCCACGTTGGATACAGAACATTCTTCCTCCTGCCCCCCTGTGCACGTATGCGCTCACGACGGTGCTTCTAGGCGAGAGCACCGGAGACGATGTTCAAGGCGCTGGACGACAGCAGCGTGGATGTCAGGCGAAACATATACGAGGCCCTTGCCAACGCCTCTACCACCGGTCCAGGCGAGAAAACGAAGAAAGAAAAAAGAATAACTGAGAAATATGGGAGAAACAAACGGAAGGAATGAGAAACAAGAGAGAGAGAGAGAGGTGGAGCCCGAGAGGGGAGGGGGTTGCCCACCCGTTGCTATTGGTAAGTCGCCGAAAACTATCTCATTCGGTCGACCGTTGTCTCAGATTGAAAGGGAGCAGGCCGAGGGGGGGGGGTGCCGTGGCGAAGAGCCGTGGCGCTCCCCCACGTCTATCGGGGGTTCCAAGCTTTGAGCGTTCCGGTCAAGCGGGTGCCCCCCGCTCACTCACACCAGACACATGGCAGGATGAAGCGCAAAAAGTGATGCCCGAAGTTTTTATACGATGATGCTAAACGTCAACTTGTACAACACTGCCCCCGCTTCCGTGCCGTCTCGACGTTCCTCCTGTGTCAGGGACTCGTGCGTTGGTAGACGCTGGCTACCCCGCGAGGCTGGTTGACAAGGCGGTGAACGAGACCGAGGAGTTACAACCGCTAGCGTTGAGGGTGAGAAATGTAGGCGGTATCTCTTTGGGGGAGTAGTAATGCAAACGCATGCCGTAGTGGGTAGACCATTGACCTTGCATCCCTACAACGCCGGGACACAGCTGTGTGCTGGGTTTCGCCGCCCCAGGCTAATACAACCATGTCCCAAGGAAGGACCAGAAAAGGGTCGTCCTTGCGTTTGCTATGCAAAACCAGATAATAAGTATACCACGGCTTGATTGAGCGTCCTGGCTAAGCAAACGTCGGGGGGGGGG